TGCTCAATAAAATTTTCCAGTTTCGCGCGGTGTTATTTCGGTCCTAATTGTGAAAGATATTTCTCAAATTTCCTACGTGTAAAATCCTATGTTTTTAAATCATTACGGATGGTCTTTCCAATGAGATCTTTTTTATGCATATGACAATAATGTTAATCAAAATTACGCACATAAAATACTTAGAACGTTTCGAGTCTCATCCACTCATTCTAAATCATTGCCGAAACAAATTCAGGAATTAAAATAGAAATCCTCCCCAGTGGAGTCGCCAAAAAATGTAGGGAATAAATTTCAAGCGTTAAACCCCTAGCTTGAACCCCACTGTGATCATACACTAAAAGTACGGTGGCGTCCAAAAGGGAAGAAGATAGAGCAAAAGAGTCGTCAACAAGTTTTAGGAACTTATAAACCGTTCACAGGGTGAAGGTTACACCCTTTAACGATCCAAGAGATCGTCAACTCCATAAGGTCTAGAACCAAATAAGGGTTCGGGGATGAAGGTATAAATCCAACCTAAAAGAGATTGAACCTGCCCTAATAATAGGCCTCTACTTTGTTCAGATCATATTCATGTGTGCTTTCTGACTAACATGCAAGCAATAGGATTAACCCTAAACCTGTTTATCTATGTTGGTTGAATATTAATGCACAAATAAACTATTATTGGCGATCACTTGAATTATAATCAAAATTAACCTTAAACAAGATTATAAATTATCTTATTAAGCGTGATTACAAGTACCAAATTCCCTTTAAACATGCAATAAAGGTGTGATCAAGCAATAACAATATAAATCAAGCAACATAATAATAATCAATCATGAATAATAATTATAATCATAATCATAACAATAATCATCATCAAAATAATAATATTCATAATAGTCATAATCATCATAAATTATAATAATTATAATCATAATCATGTTCACGTTAATATTAAAGCATAATAATAGTAAGATCCTAGGAATGATACTAACAAGATTAATAACAAACCCTAGCATGTCACTAAGCAATAAAAATCAAATCTTTAGCCCTAACATGATACTAACAATCATAAATATTAGGAAGAACATAGGAAGCATCGTAACAATCATATGAAATATTAAAATTACCCTAGACATGATACTAGGAATATCATAATAACAATGTAAACATGATTTCTACATCATAATATCAATAAAAATCAATTAAAGTACTTACTTAGATGCCTCGTACCTCTTTCTAATAACAAAATACACACGCTAGTAACTTCAAGGAAAATAATAATCAACAATTAAATTAAATAATTGAAATAGAGATTTGGGACCAAACCCTCAGAAATTAAACCTTTCACGTCTAGGGCGAAGGCAACTTCGAATATGGTTAGGTGTTTCTAGATCTAATGAATGCGGAATTTTGTATTTGAAAACAAGGTTTAAAGAGAAAGAGAGAGAGATGAAACAATCAAGAAAACTTGATGAGAATTGGTGAATGCTTAAGAGAGAATTAGAGAATTAATGATTGTGAATGAAAACTGATTGTAGGTCAATGTTAACAGAGTTTTTAATACGTTATTTATAGAGAAATAAGCCAAAAAGATAAAATATCAAAACAGAGCACTTGGCGCACGTAAAACGAGATTGGCGCACGCAAAACAGAGTTGGCGCCAGCACTAGCTTATTGGCGCCAGGCGCCAATGCCTGGAGTCAGGCGCCAGGCCTGTTTTTTGACGCGTTTTCAAAAATCAGATAAGTTTGCCGTACTGGAGGATAAAATCGTATCTTTTCCTCGAAAATGCTTTTTGATTTTAATTAAAACTCTGAAAAGTCAACAAAAGTCAATTTATCTATGATAATTGAATTAGGAATGAAAAGAACCTTCTAGAAGAATCTAGAAGACTAAAACCATTCCTAATTGCATTAGGAATGATAAATTATATTAGGCCCTCCTCTAGATCATTGGGCCGTACATAAGGCTCAAACCGGGCCCAGTTTAACAAATTGGCCATAACTTCCTCAATATTCATAGAAATTGGGCTTATAATATATCGTTGGAAAGATCTTGTCAAGCCCCATCCAACTACACTACTATTGGACCCATATCATGGACCAACCAAACTGGATTGGCTGTTTTCTTAAAATAAGTTTTCAAAAACAGATAGAAGAGAAAAGGAATTAAAACTATCCGCAACACTAGACTTTCTATACTTTCTCTTCATTCGATTATGAATCGACGTGAAAGGTACTCATCACTGTTTGGTTTTGGGGATACACAAATGGGTGTCTACAAGTAGCCACTAAGATGTGTACCATCAATGCCTATTATGGGTCTAAAACCACCCAAAAAACCCTTCACCTGAGCTGCAAATGAAATAAAACATGCCCTGTATTTTGATCCTTCATTTCCATTGTCAGTCCAAGTAATCAATGCGTAGGATCCAGGATTAGTTACTTTAATCATCTTAGCATACTTGGGTAAATGTGCATATGAATCAGCAAAACCCCCATGAATTTGCACCCTAGATAAGGCCTTGACTTTGTAGATTAACCTGAGCTTGACATTAATCATGTATCTTTCCATGCACACTCTTTGCAAAGAATCCACTGGGATGTCAGGATTTGCTCCTAGTCCTGCAACAATTATCTACACAGCCATGCTGATGACACCATGAGATTTTCTTCAAGCCTCCCACAAGTTCTATGTTCCCCTTCTAGCTTCTTGATAGCCCAACTAACTTGATCAGTCAGAACTGTGGAATGAATCCTCTAGTTACAAGTATTAATCAGACAAATTGTTGTGCATCTTTGACTGTCAGCATAGTCAACTGAGACAGCAAAGCCCTCTTGTATGCAATAGTCCCTAAATACCTCAAGGGACTCTGTTTTGCTCTTAAAAATCAACCATGGCTCAAGGTGAATAGACCCAAATGGTAAATGAGACCATATTTTTCCATTATTGTACATTTTGTCTAACACATGGCTGGCATCAAGATAATCCTCAAATGTTTTGGCATGAATATCATTACCAAGGTCTTCCTCTTCCCCTATAAAATCATCCTCACTATTCAATTGCATATCTAGTTCATCTTATATGTCTGATGCAACATAATCCTCATCTTTACTATCTTCTAAACCCATACCATCAGAAGATTCATCACTCTCACAAATAGTCACTGGTTTCTTCTTCCTAGTATTAACCTGACTCCCTAATCTAGCACTACTCCCCCCCCCTTTCTTCTTCCCTGCAAATGTACCATACTTCATGGTTGTACTCCTAGGCACCCTCCACTCCCTTGGTTTAAATCTTGTATGGCCTTTGCTTGACCCACCCCTATCATTACTGGGTGGCTATGAAGGATGATGAGATGGGGTAGGTTCCCTGGGTGGATGTGAAGGTTGATGAGATGGGGTAGGTACCCTGGTTGGAGAAGCTATTGGTGGTGTAGGATGTCTAACTAGAGTGTTTGGTGAGTAAATAGGGGTTGGTGTTGGTGGTTGATATTGTGCATGGGTAGGATTTGTAGGTGGTGGTGTAGAAACCCTAGCTGGAGAAAGTTGTTTTGTTTGTTGGGTTAACTAATTCTTTTTCTGTCTAGGTGTAACTTTCTTTCTCCAAGGACTTTTTTTGGTGGAGGTGGAGTATGCTCTTTGGTTGATTCAGTTGGTGGAGGTGTAGGATGTTTATGTGGGGTGATTCTTTTTGTGATGGCTCGAGTTGTGATGACTCAGGTTGTGATGCTCCAGGAAAGATCTCCTCAGAAGCTGGACTATTAAAGATTCTAACATAATTAACCCCACTGTCCTCTGCATTCAACACAAGAACTTCTACAACTACAGTGAATTGCTGATGTTTTCTGAGTTGTCTCTCAGCTTCTTCTTTCTCTGCCTCTCTCCAAAACTTATCAGCATTTTCTTTTAACCTTTTTGCCAAAGTAGCTTCAGCAAACTTAAAAACATGAGATGGTTCATCTGTTTCCTCAATAAAAACCTCAATTTCTTCTTTCCCTACATTCCATTCCCACATTTTCAACATAACCCCATCATCCACCAACTCCACCCTACGGTTAGTTCTAGGTTTAGCAACAAACATGGTGAATGATTTAGGAAGGTAAACATTCTACTTAACTGAGTCCTCTAACATGTACTCAAATAACTCCATCAAATTAGTCTTATCAGTGTCATCCACCCTAACAACAAAAGCATCACTCCTATAACGAGCTAAAAGCCACAATGCACTCATCCTATGAAACAAAATCAACACATATAACAATTCGCATTAAATGACAACAAAGCAAAACTAACACTATAGCAATTTCGCAAAATATATCCACAATCACATGCAAATACACACTTTCTGATTAAACCCTAACCCTAACTCAATTTCGCAAAAAAAAAAAAAAAAAAAAAAAAAAAAAAAAAAAAAAAAAAAAAAACCACATAATCACAACTCGAAATGAAGATCGATTAACAACAATTTACCTTGTATAAGCTCCGAATACCCCGCTTCCTATGTTGGTTGGAATTTCAGTCACAATCAACAAATACCTCGAGCAACCAACGCGATCTTGCGATTCTGGTTTAATCTAAAGCGCCAAAGTAACTTTCTCCACCAACTATGCCTAAAATCTTCAAAAGATTGAAGCTTTTTGATCGATTTTAAGGGTTTAAGTGTGCTGAATAACAGAGAGTGCGATGATGGAGAAGATGAAGCCAAGGGTCAAGTTTTTCGAAGTGTATAGTGCTTTTTTGGGAGAGTCAATGGTTTAAATGGCGCCATTAAAGAAGTAAGGGCAATTTAGTAAAATAACACAAACGGCAGGCTAACCTCTGTTAAGAAATTAGACAATTTGTGATAATTTGTATAAACTGATTGGTATTTGGTGAATTAGAAAAAAGATGGTGGTATAAATCAGTGATATTTGGTGAAAAATCCGTATTAAGATTATATAGTCTATTTCAAATTTCATTAATTTAAGTAAAATTTAACTAAAAGAACGTATGAAGGGAATGATGTAAGTGCATCTTTTTTCTAGATATATAAATGTCATTAGGTGCATTGTGCACCCGAGCGTTTTAACAAAAATTTCAAGACAGAGATTAGTAAAGAATACCCTCAAAATGTGATAATGAAGACTAAAAAAATCCATGTTTGTTTTGTGATTTCCTTCCATTTTTGTCTCCCTGGATACTTTCAAAGAAGATCTAGCCACTAGATAATATAGTTTTTGATTACAACATATGCCAAATAATATCATGTATGAGCATGTCTATGGCCTTTAAAAACTGGACTGATCGACAACTAACCACACCTGCAGGTTTGGGTGTTTGATGCTAAAAATTAAATCCCATCCCCACATGATACCTTGGTGCCTAATTGAGCCATGTTCATGGCTTGGTAAAGCTACAGTTCTCAACTTTAAGAGCAACTTCCTTCAACCATGCTACAAGTCAGCACCACTATCATTGGGGCTACAATGCCATGGTCGACAAGTTTGTTGCTGGCCTTGATTTTTGCTTTCTTCCCATAATTGAAATTCAAGCGAAAGTTACTATCTATTTACAGAAGTATGTACATAGATCTTTCACAAATCACAATCTAGGTGTCCATATAAATGACTTCTGCCTGTACAGAAGCTCGCTTATACCGCACCAGCTCTTTAAGCAATTCCAGTCCTCCATCAGCATTATTCGGTTTAACAGTCAACTTCTCAAGCACAGGAGAATTTGCAAGCAGAAACTTCACAAAATCTAGCTCTGGTTTAGTCGCACAAATATCGATAATTCTAACTACTCGAAGCTGGTGAAACACGCATTCGGCCTGAAGTTTTTCCTCCCAAAAGGTTGTTCCTGTGTTTGCAATAGATTCCTCCTCATACCTAGCCTACAAATAGTCAAAACATACCATGTTTCAATCTCGAACAAAATCCTGATCACAAAAAGGCACATTACATAAAAGTAGCTCTGAAGACACAAGTCTTAAGCATATTTAATACCCTAAAAACAGTGTAATTTAATTGATTTGCTACTTGTGCATGATACATAAATGTTCCTCCACATTTCATTCTTCTTTTGGGAGAAGGGGTGTGTTTAGAATCAAAGTCAGGCACTTACCAGCATCTCAAGTTCGGACAAATTTGGAGAGCTTTTAAACAGACAAAAAGCTGTCTTATTTTCCTTGATATCATAGTAGTTGATACGGATGGAGAGATAGTACAGATCAAGACATGGAACTGGTAGTCTACTTGGCACATTGCCATGAGCTAAATACTGTAAAATCTCAAAGACACGGAACAATTAAATTTCTGCAACAGGTAGTTACAAATAGAAACAGTAAGATTCAAAAGATGAAGTTAAAAACTGAGAGGTGTTGTAAGCTTGTAATACAAAATAAGGTTCCATGTCAAAAACTTTCATACATCTATCCAAACGTGATTCATTTTTTGGTAAAGAGGGGGAAGGGGGGGGGGGGGGGAGTTGCGATAATGAGACTAACATACCTTTAAGAAGTAACTTTGGACCTCAAGCCTCTGTATATGAGGAAGGCAGGCGAAAAAATTCAACATGTTGCTTGGATGGTTTTGTCTTCCATTAAACTCAGTTTCAACATTGATATATAAACCAATTGAAATTATAGACAACATGTTGGTATTCTCAAAAGTAACATCTTCAAAATCACCTCCAATGTCAAAGAACTGAAGATTAGGAGCATTAATCTTGAGATTGAAGAAACCTTCAAAGTTCATCAATGTCAACCTCTCTAGTGAGGGACACCATGCAATCAGATTCTTGAATGTGTCTTCTGTCATGGTAATATGCTGAAGATCAAGGCTCCTCAAGTTTGGAAAACCTTTGAAAACTGGTGGTGGGTTTAACAGGCAGTTGAACAGCTCCAGATGAAGCAAGTGCTTACAAGAATACAAAGAAGAAGGCATTTTGTACCTCTGACCCTTCCAAATTTCAAGTACCAAATCTTCAACAGGGCTTCTAGATACATATAGAATCCATCGGTCAATATCAGCGACAGCTTGAAGATCTTTATGGGATAGCTTGAACTTCTGTATTATGCCAGTGTGAAGTACCAAAACTTGATCAATGATATTGATAAGTTTGCTCTTGGCTATAGCTTGATCATTAAATGGGCAGCAGTCCTTGTCAAATATGAGATTTGGTAGACTAGCCCATTTGTACCTCCAATTGCTCGATAAAATACTAGTCCTAACTGCATCTCTAATGGACAACCAAGACAGAATCCCATCAACAATATGGCTTGGTAAGTTGCTTAGTCTATCTGATTGATTCTGCATGTTGCACAGCGCCTTGGGGGTTGTCTTCTTCTCTGATATAGTTGAAGCAATACTCATGAAAACGCCCAATAAATACACAATCAAGCAGATATACTGTTGTAGCAGTATACAGTCATACATACACTAGAGATATGATCCATTCTTTAGCACAAACATAGAATCTTAAATTAAAAAGCACAACCTGACAACTGAGATACCAAATGTTTAATCTATTCATTTGCAAGTGTAGTTCCCCTCGGGCATTAAATGCTGTGTGATCAAATGCATGTAAACCAAAATCTGTTGTACTAGGTAGAATGACTGGCTCTAGTGTGTTAAAGCAACGTCACAAGGATATCCGTACCAGGGGTTATCATGAACTCATGATCTTATTCACGACAATGGTAGATTCTTTGGTGAAATTTTCACATCATGATCTTACATAATTGTTTAATTTCAAAACAAGTATAGATACTGCTCTATAAGATACAACCAACATACTAATGATCCTATACAAGAACTGGCCTTAGATGTTTGCATTTGAAAACCGGGGTCAACTCGTCTAAAATCAAGCCAGCTTATACATTCAAGCCAGGTCAAATTTAAATCAGCTTCTAGGTAAAATCTATTAATTACTAGTTGCCAGAAATAATTTTGTGTTTCATGTAAAAAGAAAAAAGAAAAAAAAAGGTTAAAGCCCAAATTTTTATGGGAAATCAGTGGTTTCTCTGGTATAGTAACTTTTTGTAAGTCTATTTCTGTTGCTTCATGCATCCCGTGAAACTTTTAAACTGATGATAGTCTAATAAAGAAGGGTCCCTGACTCCCTGCACGGCTGCACGTGTGAGGAGGAGGTTACTTGGAGGACTGTATTGTATGATACTAGAAGAAAGCTAATGATGATCAAAGGTAGGATAACAAGATGGCACTACAAGTAAACACCGTTGTGCACTTCCCATTTGTATAGGCACGACAAATTGGTATGTTTGGTGGTTAAAAATAAAACCGATGCATGCACAGTATATAAAGTTAGTACTTGACAAGGATCGGATGTAGGTCTCCCTCCCCCAACTCACAATAGTACTTGTACATGAAGGACGATGATTGCTCCTATAATTGATATATTTTCAAAGGATTTTTACAGAAATCAATGGCAAGGAAACTACAGGAATGTGACTTAGAAGGTAAAGATTCGGTTAAAAAAAGTTCAAGAAACAAGCATTCAAAGCACATTTATTAGTAAATTATTTTGTAATTTAATCCAGTTTGCATTTTAAATTTTAATCTCGCTTTATATTAAGTTGAACATTGGCATTTTTGTAAGCAAATTTTGGGTTTAATGGTAGGGGTTCTGCAGGAGGTTGGGTTGGATACACATATATGCAGATAAACTAAACACATGGATTACAAGTCCCCATTATTTTGGCATAACTGCAACAGGTTCTCCTAATTAAGCATAACTCAGTTAGTATTAATGTAAGCTCCAAGGATTGAACAAGGACACAGATGAAGAGATTTACTTTGCTTTAAACTATAGATTCACACACATGAAATTGTTGGTTATTTGCATTAAGAGCAACTTTCCAGCTAATTTGTCCCTCCTAATAGCATAGGAAAGGTATAGTCAATTGGATAAGCATGGGACGTCTTACAGACCAAAAGACTGCATGCTTATTATTTAAAGCTTACAGATTTGTAAATTGACCATACCCATTTCCGTTTCTTAGTTGACAAAAAGACTTCAAGGACATGATGTGATAAGCAGTGACTAGAAACCTTAAACAAAGATAATTTGTCCATCAGAGCTGCACATGATACCAAAGGAAGAGATAGGTCCTTAGCTGTTGACAAAAGGGTAGTCCTAGGAATCAAACTCAGCACTAAACAAAATTAGAAGATTAAGCATCCACTTGGCAGCAAATACGTATATGTAACCCCAACAATATAAGCATGATCAACTCAAATTAAAAATCTTACATCTTTGTTATCTTCACCTCATTTTATTGATTTAAATTATTTCACTAAACAAAAAGTTATTTTTACTAAATAAATCTTGTTTTTACTTGTTGAAACTGATTTTTATTGATTAGAACTTGTTTTTACTGATTAACAGTTATACTTGTTATTTAAATTTACTAAATTTAAATAATTAAAACAAATATTTACTTTATTAAACAGAGTATTGTTACTTGTTGAAACACATTTTTAACAATTTGAACAAAGTTTTGCTGAATATTACTTTTAAGGCAAAGATAATAGGGCTCTTAGTAATAGAATAGGAGACTCAAAATTATTACATTAGTAATTCTACTATAACAATGAATTTATGTTATAGTAATGAACAGACCTATGGGGAAGGGCATAATAAGTTTGTTAGGGTTAGCTTGGAAAGAAAGCAAGCTGTGAGTTTTGCTCTATAAAAAAAAAGTTTAGGACGAGATCATTATGATGAATGTTGACTGGAGTTATCATTTACTTTTATTTTGTATTTTGGGAGGGTACAGCCTCTTGAATGCTTGTGTTTATTGGTTACATGTTCATATTTCCAGTTTATCAATCATAATCATCTTCATTTCCCATTAAATCAATACCATTAAATCTGTCAAAGCTATGTCAGTTCACAACAGGTAGTTTACATTGATGCTAGCAATTACGATAGTAGACTGGTTTTATTTTATATAAAGATTTCAATGCTACAGTAGCAACATGTTTTTTATTTTATTTTTTGACAACCATATAAGGATTTCAATGCTACTCCCTCTGGTTTTTTTTTTTTATTTGCATCAGTTTGACCGGCACATTTGCCGAAACGCAAATTTGACCATTAATACTTTTAATTGTTAATTAGTAAAAATTATATTATGAAACTAGACATTATGAAGAATCTAATGATATATCATATAATAACATTTATTTATTTTATAGAGGTGAAAAAATCAAGTCAAAGATATGTGAACAGTACAAAAATCAAAGTGATGCATTAAAAAAAAAACAAAGGGAGTACTTTATTTTATAAAGCAACACGCTATAACACTAATTATGAAGCTACAACATTTCTTATATTTGATGATGATGTCATATTCCATTTGGGATTAAGGCTTTGATGCTGCTGTTGTTGTTGATTATCTCAGATGGAATCTTGTCGAGGCTTTGAAAACATAGTGAATTAGTGATGTATTCATATTAAATAAATGATCAGTTTGTTCCTGTGGGAGATCATGTCCAGCATGTTTTTCACATCAGAGATTGAATTTAATCAAGAAATCATGATCATGCCAGTCACAATCTGGACCACATGATTCGATGCATGACATTTAATGAAGCTAATTTGATTTTGCTTTGTAAAAAAACTCATATACAACAAGTCAACTTATCAGTTTGGTGAGAAAAGAAGAGCATTTGATAACACAAAGTGGGCTTGAAAGCAAAGCATTATTTAGTGCATTGTTTTAATGAGATAACCAAGCTTCTTGTTTTTTTTAAATAATGAAATACGCCTGATTTGTTCCACAAGTTAATAAGGTAGTATGTTAGTCAAATAACCCTTCAAGGGAGTCGCTGAATAATATCCAAGAGATGAGTTCATAAAGAATATGGTTGAATGTTTTGCTATCTTTCAGTTTAGTATTAAACCAAAACAGATAAACATGAGTTGAGTATCTTGACCGGCAACTACAAGACCCCTCAAACCCGACTTTTTAAGATATGAATTTGTTCTTTTCTTTTAGCATATTCATCTTTAATACCAAATGATGTGGGTACAATGGACTTATCCTTATTATTTTCAATTTGAGCTCCATGTTCATATGATTGCTAAAAAGTAGATCACTTAAAATGGCAATGAAAAATCTGTTTAAGAACACTGTTCTGACACAATTTGGCATCAACAAAGTGGTAAAACATCCAAAAATATGTCTCTCACTAATTTAGAATTATCATAAAAATAATATTTCCTGCATTAATATTGCAACAAGGGAAAGACACGGAATTTAAGATGAGAGATAGAGAGAAACATGTGAAAATATGACAATGTTGCAATATTTGTTAGATTGCCTAAATATTAGGGGAACGGAAGAAATAATAATACTAATAATAATAATATATAAAATAAAATAAATAAATAAGGCAAATGTCATAGAGCATTGTTTCGATGCGAGTAACTAACCATTGTTCCTAACCTAGCACATATTATATTTTGTTGTTCTCTAATAAACCGATATTGCCAAAAATGGAGAGCAACACATCCGTTATCTGACTAAAGGACCGAAGGAGTACTCAATAGCTTCATTTTCATGTTTATTTGTAAGTGATGCAAATTGTTTAATGGTGGCCCCTTAAAGCAACCCATAATGACTCACTAATGCATGATTTCCACAAATTTCATTACAAAATTGCACGTTTTACAGTGGCTCTTAGTAGCTAGGCAAGGAACTAATCGGTTCCCACGAGTCCCATCATATATCATAACAAATTAAGATCCCTTGTCTTCAATTTGCTATCATGTAACCATCAGCTTTATTAGAATTTAAATTATATACAAATGATCAGTGATTAATTAACATTAAGACCTTGTTCTCTTCGCCTTATATCCTAAACTGAAATTTTTTTGCTGAAGTGGATGTTGATAGTAAGTTGTTTTTACTAAACTTGAATTGTTTTTACTAATGAATCTTTACTGATTTTCTAATATACTACCTCCGGTCCACTTTAGTTGCAACTTTGGGGGGGTTTGCGGAGGCCGAGGCAAAAGATCATAAGCATGATTAATGAAAGATAAGGGTATATGCTTATGTTTTAATCCAACCTATTAAAAAAAAAAAAAAAAAACAAATTCAACTAAATTTATATTAATTTACCCACCACCACCGGCACCACCTAGTTGTACAAAAACCACCCACCGACCACCACAACCACCTACCACTGAACCCAGCAATCCCAGCACCAACGACCCCCGAACCTACCAACCACCAAACCCAACGAGCCTAGAAACCACCGAACCCATCAACCACCAAACCCAGCACCGACGAACCACACCAAACCCTCCAACGATCTGGAACCACACCAAACCCACCGACGAGGCGCAGTAACCTCCCACCTACCACCAAACCCACGAACCCACAAACCCACGAACCAAAAGATCCACGAACCCACAAACCCAACAGTCGATTTCCTAGCATAGCCACCAGAAGGAAGTCGCCACAACCAGAAGGAAATCGCCGCTCAAATCTGATGAAACTCGTCAGAAATCGCCGCTGAAATCAAGCGACATGTTGAAGGAGGAGAGAGGAAAAAAAATGGGGATGAGGAAGAAAATGTAGAAATTTGATGAATAATGGTGATAAGGAGGAAGACGAAGGAGGATGAAGGTGGCTAAAATTTCCCTAAAGGTGGCTGATTAGATGGAAAGGGGTTGATTTTGGTGAAAACAGTTAACTTAATTAATGTAGGGTTTAAGCTAATTAGATAAAAATCAATTTTTAATTAGGGTGTTTTAAAATAAAAGTAAGGGTAAAATGGTAATTTTACCACTAAAAAGTTACTAAAAAGGAAAGAAATGGGAAAGCTGCAAGTAATGTGGACCGGCCTAAAAAGGAAATAGTTGCAAGTAATATAGACCGGAGGTAGTATATATGTTTGTTAAGATACTGATTGATATTTTATATGAATAAAGTGAAGAGAACGAACCTAACAATGATCACTAGCTCACAACTACAGTACTCAAATATGACATTGCGTAAATAGATTTACCCTTTAAATATTTGAGGACCCTAATATTGAACTAAAAGAATTCCTAAAGGGCTCCAGTAACAAATATACAAAATAATTTTATGATACTTAAAAGATAATATGCTTAAGTGCCAAAGAACCCCTATTAGTCAAATCAGCTTCTACACTTCATTTAATGGCAATTCTTTGGTATATAATCCATAATTTATTTTTAATTCTTTTAACTACAAATTTGCACATATATAATCAAAGACATAAATCTTCATTTAAGGGAAGCAATTCATAAAAACAACATAATTAAAATATGCATGCTGACATTAATTAGGAAAAAAGCTCAAATTTACCATAGTGTTGCAATAAGCAATCGCCTAATGAAATATTCTAAGCAAGCTCGGTGATCCCTTTTCCATTTCAATGCTTATCAATTCCAAATTCTACTGCAACATGGACATAAAGTGAAGTAAATACAGCAGTTCTATTATGACAGAAAAAAGAGGCACGGAAAGCAGAGAATAACTGCTAAAATAGCATAAATTGAACTTTGAGATGAAACCAATAGAGCTCAAACAAAATTCAAAGGTATTATTCAAAATTAAAACAACACTAATGCATTCATTACAATACTATTGGACAAGTAAAGCATCGAAAATCCGTAATGACCCTAATGAGGGATTCTCCGGCTAACACAATGCTCAGGCTGAAATAGACTAAAAAATTTTCAGCTTGGTTAATGGGTTCAATTAGGCTCGAAAAAATGCAACGCAATAGCAATAAGATTCTCGTTCACGAAAACCAATGTACATTTGCACGTAGCAACACTTCAAGCAACAAAATCACTCATTATAAGATATCATAACTTCAATTAACATAGCCAATCAATAATCCACCTTAGAAAATCCCTAAATTGATTACACTGACAATTAAATTAACGATAGCTGTGAAATTAAACCCTAGATTCAAGCCAAACCTATTTCAAATTGAAGAAAGAACTAAGAACAACCAGAACAATCCCTGAGCCAGGGCGGCGGGGCGGCTACCCCGGAACCAGGGAGAAGGAAAAAAAAAGGTACATTTTCAAAATTTCGTCATCAGATTACGTTAAAGGGTTGCATAAACAAAAGCTTGTAAGCATCGAAACCAAATTTGACTCCAAAATCATAACCATTATCAATGCTGGCTCGAAAAATCACATAATGAATAGCAAAATTCTAGCAACGAGATTGCTCATTATAATCTAATATGATTTCAGTAATTTTACCCAAATATGTGTAATATTTCATCTTTGAAGAACCCTAAAAGCCTAAATTGATTATAGTGATGATTAAATCAATGATTAACACTATATTGAGAAATTGATATTCAATTGTTAAACAAAAAAAGGAATTGAAAAAGAGAAAAGAAAAAGATATCTTACTCAAAATTACTTCATGAGAGAAAAATCATTAGCTATTTCAATGGAGATTTCAGAGTAGCTTCAATGGAGGAGAGAGATAAAGAGGTAAGGGGGTGCAGCGTAAACGTGAATGGTTCTAAATCAAAAATGTATACTTGTAATAATAATTGAAGGTGTGACGCATATAATATGATCATATTTTACTTTTTTTTTTTAATAGCAAATATTTTACTTATATATCTATATTTATTTATACTTACTATTAAAAACTATAAGTCTATAACCAAGAAATTAAGAAAGACATATGTCCCATCCATTTTATTACACTTCTCTAACCATAGTGCCACATGTCATCTTACACTATTAATTTTTTATTACACCATTTTTTTTTTCATTAAACTTATAATTCATCTTTCATACACACTTCATCTCTCCCCTTTAATTCAATCTTTTCCTATTTTCTCTTTAATTTTAGCCCTTCCACCTTCTATTTAAACCTCTTTTTCGATTAAAGTTCCAAAATTTTAATTTCTTTAATCATGTTTCCGATTACATATTATACCCTATAATGACTTACTGATATTTCCTCACTTATCTATCAATACAATTTTATATGAATAACCTGTGCATCGCACGGGCCAGAAGGCTATACAGTATGTTTTAGGAAAAACTAGATTAGTATTTGCACGGTTTTAAGAGTCTAAATATTAAATCTCATAAAATCGAAACTAAAGTTAACATAATGGGAATCATCAACCGATTTACTAAGATTTCGGGCGAGGAACTTAACTTGTCAAAGTCTCTTATTAAATTCAGCTCAAATACCACCTCTCTTGCTCAGGATGAATTCAAATCGATCTTCAGAATGACTCAAGTGCCTCAGTTTAACCATCATCTTGGCACACCTATTCTTCATTAGGAAGAGAGATCATTTCCAGTTTCTTATAGACAAGATTCTTGGACGAATAAATGATCTAAATATGTTTAGGCTTTCTCAACACCAAAAGTTAATTTTTATTAACTCTATTCTGGTAGCTATTGCTTCTCATGTTCTCTCTTGCTTTGAGCTACCGGCTTCAGTTTCTAATACAATCAATTCGTTACTAGCACGGTTCTTCTGGTCCCACTCAGAAGACAAAGGAATGCACTAGGTCAATAGGGGTAGCTTGCATTTTCCTCGAGGCCTGGGTGGTTTAGGAATTTGCTGTATCTCAACCTTGATTAAAGATTTTCTTATGAAGCAAGTTTGGAGATTTGTGAAGCACCCGCAACTTCTAGTTTCAAGAGTCTTTGGTGCTCGCACCAAATTCCTTACAAAATGTCCCCTTTCTCTGCACAGATTTACAGGGCGCAATTCTTACAGCCTTCGTGGTCTTACAAGAGCAGATACCTTACTCTCTACAGGGTGTGGTTGGAAAGTAGGCAACGGAGCTTCTATTATCGCTGGATATTCCAAATGGGCTAACGGTACCATTCCAGAGTTCAAACCAGGAATTCCGAATCATGTCTCAAAGGATTGGATGGTTAATTTTTTTCTCTAATCCTCATACCAAATCTTGGGATGCTGCTTAGGTCAGGTCCTGCTTCCAACCAGATTCTGCGGCTACAATACTTGCCATGGAACCACCGGTGGAAACAGAACAAGATTTTTAATAATAGACTCGTACTCCTTCAGGGACATATTATGTTAAAATTGGATATGTAATGTTACAACAACAACTTTCGACCTGATAATTTCTGGAAAGTTCTTTGGTCCCTTCAGATACAGCCAAAATGGAAGTTGTTTTTATGCAAACTATTACAAAATTCTCTTGTAGTGAAGACAGAACTTTGCCATAGAGGAGTTCCCATAGAAGATATTCACTATGATTTATGCATAACAGAGCCGGGAGATTTTTTTCACCTATTTAGGAATTGCATTATTGCAAGAATTGAATGGAGGGGTGGAAGCCTTGGCATCCACTCAAAATACAATGGAGACCTTTCTCTTACAGATTGGACCCAATATTATATCCGACTTTTCATTATTCAGGATGGGACTTCAAGTCCCCGTATTAGTACCTTTATTGGTACTCTTTGGAGTCTCTAGTTATTTCGGAATAACAGGGTTTTTCGTTTAGATTCTTCACCTCCTCGACCAATCCTTTTGCAAGTTCTGGAAGTACTTCAATCACATACTTTCTTTATACAGGGTGATCTTACTATTACACCATTCCACACTCCTCGCTTAGCTCCTTTCGGCACAATGCCACCGGGTTTTTATGCGGCGCATTTGAGGGGAATTTGCTGCTACACTAGACATGATTTCAATCCAAATAGACGGTTCATGGTTTGCAAATTCAAATATAGCAGGGATGGGTTGGTGCATGGATAATCAGGACGTGACGGATCAGAGGATTAGAGGCTGCAGTAATTTTGGGTTATGTACTACGACGTTACACTCGGAAGCTTTAGATTGTTTGTATGGCCTTCGTTGGGCTTTAAGCGCGGATATTCAATCAGTCACCATTTTTACTGATTGTTATAATCTGGTTACTCTCCTTATAGGTAATGAACAAGATGACATTACTCTACTTTGGACCATTTACAAAATCAAGCGGCTCGGGGCTTCTTTTAGATACTGCGATGTTCATAAGGCGGATAGAAGGCGAGTTCATAGAGCTCACCAAATAGCGGTTGAAGCAACACAACTTTCAATTTGCTTTTCTATTAATATGTAATTTGTTTAAACCTTTGTCAAAAAAAAAAAAAAAAAAAAAAAACTAAAGTTAACATAATGCCTTTTTTTTGCTGCAAATGACAAGCGAGGCCTCGGAAATTAAATAAACAAAAATTAAACAGAATTTAAACATGGAAAAGCCACCCCTACAATATTCTCATGTAAGATGTGTCCTAAAGTCAATAGGAGGGAATAAAATCAACTCAATATTGGTGTTCTGGACGACACCTTGGTTTGCTAGCTAATCAGCAGCCCAGTTTGCTTCACGATAGACATGTTCGATTTGTAATTGCCAGTTAGTTTCTTCAATTGGCTGCTAGCATCGTCTTATAATATGATATCCTTGACCTCTTTGCACTTTTTCATTCCTCAAAGCTGCTACAACCGTTTGGCTATCCAATTGCACTTGAACTTTAATAGCATCCATTCGTTTTGACAACTCTAAGTCGTACTCTATAGCTTTAAGCTCAGCTATGTAAGCATTACAATCCCCCAATTTAAGAGAGAATCCATGTAAAAACCTCTGACTATAGCCCCTAATTAGAGTACCACATCCTGCTGGTTAAGGTGCTCCTCTAGCAACACCATCCGTATTTAGAGCAAGCCAACTAATTAGGGGAGCAATCCATCGAATGTGTGATTCTTCTCTTCTCCTAGCAGGTTGTTGTGTAACCCTCGCATCATCATGATGAGTGTCATTTTATGGCACTCATTTGGTTCTCTTTAGGGTGGAATTCATGCTATTTTATAGCTTTTTTCTTTAGCTTTTCCTTAGTTTTACTCTTTATTTTCTTAGTTTGCATTTTCTTAGTTGAATTTCTATTTTTTTATGCATTTCTTGGTTTATTTTGTTATTTTCTCTTTTATTTGCTTTTTTCGTTCATTTTTCAGGTTATGATCGTAATTCGAAGATTATCGAGTCTCAGAGTTTTACATCGTTTGAGATGCCTCTTACCTACCATTTGAAGTTCAAGTTTTAAGGAGTGTATAGTCCAAGTCTTCTAGCTCGTGCATGCAAGCGGTGGGTACACCATTTTTTGTGTTGAACACAATGTGGAGGCTATTTGAAGACTGTATCCTTCCGTGTTCATCAACATCGTCAAGTGGACCGCACGACGAAGAGCAAGTCGAAGGTGAAGGAGACTACCCTGCTCCCAGGCACGGGCGCGCCTCTCAAAGTCTTTGTTTCATACCCAGTTATGCGCGGCCGCGCTCCCCCTTGAAGATGGTCCGCCTGTACGGGTCTATTTTGGACGATCTAACTAATTTATCTTTGTTAGTTTTACTATATATAGACTTTCCTTATATTTTTAGAGCAAGTTTTGGAAAAGAGAATTAGAATAGAAATTTTAGATCATTTTGTAGAGAGAGAAACTCTATGTTGTAGAGAGAGAAGCTCTTAATTGATGAATGAAGATTGATGGTTCTAAGCATTTTCTCCATTGATTTGAAGAAAGTTTATAAGTATTTCTTTTACTTTAATGCAATCTTTAGCTTTTGATTTCAATTGTTTTCTTGATTGTTCAAGTTTGGTTGAATTTGTGATTGAATTAGTTTGATTAATATGATGATGATGAATTTGTTGTTTAGCTTAGTTTTGATCTTGATTACCATGGATTGTGAGTAGTTTCTTGCTAAGGGAATGGTGAAGCATATATGAGTAATGGATTGATGCTAATTGGGGGAAATTGATGGAGTTGATGTAGTGATTAAATTGGTTGACTGATTAAGTGCATGTGTGTGATTGATTGAGGTGTAGCTAACTTTGATTGTTGCACTAGATTGCATTGTAAGTTCATATTGATACAGAAAATTGATTTGTGGCTTGCATTTGTTGAATGAGTTGGTTTGTGAAGTTCCTAGCAAGAGCCTCTCTTAGTTGGTGCTAGTTTGCCCTCTAGGAGATTAGCCTACCATACTCTCTTAATTACTTAATTGATTTTCCCTCGCAACACTCGACTTAGTCAATTCCAATCTCAATTAGTTGTATACATTACATGCATATGTGGATCCTAAACCTAGTGTTTGATATATTTGATTTTAATCTCGTTTCCTTAGTTGTTTAGAGTACACACACCTTATGTCACTTCTTCGAAATATCTTAGATTTAGCAGTAGCATTCACCTCCCATTCCTAGTGGTTCGACCCTCAACTTACTCCTATGCTAGTTATAAGGGTGTGTTGAGTGATTACAAATTTTATTTGGACTAGGGAAGATTAGTCCAACGACCTAGTCTCAACCCTTGTTTAAAATGGCGTTGTTGCCGCGGAATGGCGTAGTTGTTTGCTATTCTTGTTGAGTCTATTTCACCGAATTTCAAAAATACAAAAAGATTTTTTTTTCTCTTTAGGCTACATTTGTAGCCGTGCTATTGATATTTGCTTTGTGTTTTTGTATGCATAGGATAAGAGGAAGGACTCTAGTACCATTTGATCTGGAAATTGAGAGAGCAATAACAAGGATAAGGTTTGCTAATCATTCTTCAAGTCCAAGCTCTTCAAGAGAGGAAATTCATCAAGAAAGAGAAG